CATGTTCACATCATTCCACAACGACAGGGGCTGAAATGAACCATAACATCGGGGTAACCTCCTACTCTTCCGAAAGATGCAATGGGTTCTTTAAAGTGCACACGAGCCAGATGAATACGCTAGGCCTCATTTTAAGTCCTTAACCAAGAAGAATTGGTTCTACCAACCGGACCATGGGCCTATGTTAAGGCTGTAGCTATCGGCGCCCCTGTCTTACCGCTCGGCCACTCGACTCGCCGATGCCAAATATTCTCATATTCCATCTTGAAATATATTTTGTTAACGATAGTGTTCATATGTAAAAATACTTGCCTGCAAAGTAGCCAGACCTGTCGTGTCCTTGCTAAGCCGTAAAGAAGGCGTGTTCTCTCCTGAGATACAGTTGCGGTTACGTATTGTGTCCACATCATGTCCCATTCAGCTTGGCCGCCGGCATTTTCCATACCATACCGATAGATCAAAGATCGTACATTTGGGGAGGTTCTGTAATAATATTTATAATAATAATAGTAGTATAAAAGTTGTTAACATCTTAGTTGAGATTTTGAACGAGACGCCAAATATTCTCATATTCCATCTTGACTGTTGACAAGGTTCATGCTATGTTTCGGCGATTATATATCATGGCTTATAAATACATAATACAAACCATTAATACTTCAGCCGCATCAATGAATAATAATAATAATAATAATAATAATAATAATAATAATATTAATAATAATACGGTACGTAACGATGTAGAAAGTGGAATTAACAAATTAAATTATCTGACGTAGCCTTGAGCAACACTTTTTGAAGTTTGATGCACGCAAATAAAGTTTTAGATAAAGGAAAGAAAACGTTTGTATATTATGTTTTTTTTTTTTTAATGTTAATAAAAGCCGTACCCATCAGTTTGCCGATTCCTCAACACCGATTACTCTCTCTGTTTTGTAATAATTCATTGTTTTTTTTTTCTTTTTTTTCATCCACAAACAATATCTTCAAATAACTGTATTTTGTAATCTAATTCTTCAATTCATACTTGGATGAATATATTTTATCCTTTTATTTTAAATACGTCATTTTTGTGTCATAATTAACCAATTACACTTAGTTTAATTATAATGGAATGTAATTTGCTAGTGCATTTTACATGCATGCTTTGGCGGTTAAGACGCTTGCCTCCTAATTCCAATGTACAGTACTGGTTCCAATCCCCGACACATCAGTTTCACTTTTATCCCGAGTAAAACAGCATCAATCGTCATAAAGCACCATAAAGAAATTGGGTTTCTAAAGCTTCAATATACCTGTATACTTTACTTCGTGAATTAATTATTAGATGTCGTTGAATGTGAAAGAAAGGCAAATAATATGTTAAATAAATGTTGATTTTTTTCTCACTAGGCTTTCAAGTTCGCAATTAATCTAATGTTTTGTTTAGTTAATATTCTTTTCTATCTGTTAGATATTTGTGAGTGCTTCTTTTAATAAGTCAGTTAATTAGTAATATTAATTGTATTTTGAAAATCGCGCTGACATTTAGTTTTGTGCTGTCAAGATTTCGATAATACAACGAAAATAATGGTAATCAAGTTTTTACTACTCAAACATACAAAACTAAACTAATACATATATCACATATTAATTATTCATATATCTTTAGGTACTCTTTATGAAGTTATGTATTATCATCTACTTACGTCTAACAAAATAACCATGCTTTATGTACAGTAACAATGCAAAAAATACTCACCTTACACCATTTAGATAATCTTGGAATTTAGTTTCTGCTTCTCTAAGACAATCAGGATCACCGTGACTACAAGACAGGCCAATGATATCTGAGCGAAGGTAACTAGAAAAAAAAAAACAAATTTGAAACTTAACTATAACATTATACTGGCCGAGAATGAATTTGGATGGGATTAACTGTGGACTAATGCTATTTTACTCATGTGTTTGTAATTTCCTTTCATTTAATTTATCTCACAAGAAAAAAAAAACTTTAAAATACATACAAAGGACAAAAATATAGAAAGGACAAGACAATACCCTGGTCGGTGGTAGGATAAATTAAAAGCAAACGTAAATGCTTAATTCCGACAATTAAAAGCGCTAAATATAAAAAATATAATATGTACACAAAATAAATTATAAAAATAAAATCTAACGTAGTAGACATAGTAGACACATTATGCATTACAACATGAAGCGCGTATCAAGATGGATTAAATGTACTAGAATCAATTTCTACTAAGCCCCAAATAACTGAAATTGTTCTTGGGTCCCACAAAACAAAAACGTAAACCTGCGTGTCTGTAGGACATGCTAGGAAGTGCACATGTTCTGGACCCTATATAATACGTTCTGATTGGTCTATTTATTGACAATCCAGAAAAAAAATATATATTGTGCCTAGACCCAGTAACTTTATTAATTTGTTATTCTGTAATTATCATCGTTAATATTATTATCATTATATATAATTAGGCCAAAAAAAAAAAAACTTGTTTAGCGTCACCGCCCGACCCATATATTTTAGCCGCCTCTCCATTTATATAATTTTTATTTGTTTATGTATTGAAGCTTTGTTAATGTCAACAGATATACAAAAAAAAAACAACTAAATGAACAACAAACAAACGAATTAACAACAAACAAACGAACGAACGCACAGGAAAGGAAAGATCAATTCAGGGAACGAACGATCACACAAGGAGTCTACATGATAATAATAGACTTGGCCAAGCACAGTATTCATATATAGCCACCAATAGTTGAAAAACAATGACTAACTCTAATAATAAACCAGTTAAAGATATTAATAATGTCATTATCATAATATTGCACCTTACCTCTCAAGATGGGTTGTGCCTGCGTCGTCCCACGTAAGCGAATCCAGAAGAGGTTTTACTTGGCGTTGAATATATTTCTAAAAATAGAAAATAACAGCTTATTTACTCATTAAGAAGGGGAGATCTAATCTCTCTAATTAATAACTTTGAAAGTGTATTTTATGATTTCAATATCAGTATTATAATTATGAGAAATTCAAAATGTGCAAAATCAAGTAATAAATTAGTAAATTAAATCAGTAAAAGAGGATAAGAGAGGTTGAATAGAGTAGGGTAACTAAAATGTAAAGGTATAGGCATTTACTGAGACTAGACAGAGATACATATACGGTTTTAAAAGAAGGAAACAGAGAAAATAATAAACCACCATTATTATTCAGTGAGAAACCAATAGATTTATACATGGGACTAATGTACACTGCCTCGATGAAGATCATGCCTAGTAGCGAGATTTAGTAAAAAGTTCGATGTCGAAAGACAAATAGCATTCAGTATGACGATGAAGATGATGATGATGATGATGATGATGATGATTATGACTTCCATTTGTTAAGTGCCTGTTTAAGCGAACAAAATATTGATTCTGTTTAACTTACCCTCCAGTCAGCAAATACAGGTCTATAGCGTAAGATTTCACTTATCCAGTTCAAGTTGCTGTAAGCGGTGTCCCATGGTATGTATTCGGTCTCCTTAATAAAATACTTGGTCATATTGAGCGGTATGAAGTAATCGATTTGTCCAGCTCTGATTAACATAAAGTAAACTTGAATTATTCCTTGTAGAATAGGGTATGCTGTGCTTCTTCTTGACACTCGAAACAACCTTCCGTTGTCCTACTAACTTGCTAGTCAATAATATATTATGGATTAAATAAACATTATTGTAGGCCATCCTAAACTCTTAAATCACTCAAAATTTCGAAGTTACATCTGGGACTTCTTTACTTTTATGTTCAGAAATAATCCTAATATAAATTTATCCGACTTTTTAAAATAATTTTAATAAAATATTTTACTTGTAGGTAGTACTTACTTGAAAGACGAACAAAGCTGCATGCTATTAAATTTTTTAAACTGTTCAAAGGTATATTAAGTACAACTAAGTAAGGAAATCGATGGTCATTAGTTTTTAAAACCTTTCTTACAGGGATCACTGTATATAGTCTATTAGTAATTTAGAAAATTCTTAACTTTCTGAGTGGTTTAGGTCTTTTTCACGTCCGACAGTAACAGAGGCATATTAAATGCCCTGCCTCAAATAGTCCGGGTGGGGGTTGTCATTGCCTGATCGGAGAAATTACCCAACAGCTTGAATGAATATACTGAGGGTGCCCAAACAAAATGTAGACCACCCAAAGACACTACAAAGTAAAACACGTTCATAAACGGAGATATCGGGGAGGCAAAAAAAAAAGAAAGAAAAAAAAAACACCGTCGTAGAAACTAGTAAAATTTAGGATATAATCTCTGCTGATTTATCTCCAGATCACAGGGACTCCAACAGTAAACATGTCTGAATCTCACACGTTGATACGTTTCAGAGTGCCATTTTCAGCAATCTAAAGAGCAATATTTTAAAAGCGATCGTACAACTACCCACCCAATTTGGGCTAGGATAGGTGTTCACTCAAAGCAACTAATATTTTAGCTCATCCCCTCCAACGAAAGATTATGGGTCCGCCCCTTGTATGAATAGCCCAAAACCTCCAAACCTTTATGGTGTTCTGTGGTAAGTGTACAGTAATACAGATAGGAATGAACTGAACTTACTTTGCCAAGTTAAACGAATCATCGATTAATCCAGAACGATCAGCTATAGGTATCACCTGGACATGAAAATAAATTTTAACATTGTATGTGTCTACATTACATAAACAAATTGTGTTTACCTCTGTTTATAAATTACTACGTTTACAGGTCAATTATCTAGTTGACGTGGTGGTGGCATTAGCATAGTAAAGTGTAATAATTAGTTAATATGGGTTTCAGCATGATTGCTGTAATATAGTTACTGTATATTACTATTTTGAAACATAATTATTCTTACCTCGTGATTTTTTATTAGTTCGTCAATGAGATTGTCCCATGTGGTCTGATCATAATTTACACGATAATATCCTGTCTGATTAAGATTTGCTATGACCCACTGGAAATCGGTTGGCGGAAATATATCCACTAAAAATAAACAAATAAACAATTTAATAACTGATCAAGAAAAATATTTCTAAAAAAAAAATCAATACAGTTCATACAGACAGTGTTGTATTTACTAAAACCAAAATATCCCAAGCATAACGTTGCATAGGCCTACTGTCAATAAAATGGGATTTTACTTTGCATTCAAACATACCAGCGTTGTCGTTAGTTTCCATTAACTGCACCTTGTCAGATTCACCGGGAAATTTGTAATCTAGGTAAATGTTCCACTTATAACTGAAACAACACATTTTCAAAAAAATTAATACAGCATGTGTGTAATGAAAAAGGAATTTCAAGTGGAAGAGAGTCATTGGATTCCTATTGAGGCCCAGAAATTACCTTCTGTTCATAGCTTTTGGGCAGGCACACCCAATTTGTGCCGGTGTTTCTCATTTTGTCTGTCCTGGAAACTAGGAATGTGTCAGTTTGTGTTTTGCTTTGTTTGTTTTTTGTTCTCTTTCTTTCTCTCCCACCTTCTCTATCTCTCTTTTGCTGTGTTTCTTATATATATATATATATATAATAGGCCTATGTAAATCGCCAAATAAATATAATAAATAAATACAGGAACAATATTTGTTTTGATTTATGGTGATGGAAATATAATATAATTGTTAAAAGGCATACACAAACAATGATTGAATGAAAGATAATGATTGCATCGCGATGATGATGATGATGATGATGATGATGATGATGATGATGATGATGATAACGACGACGATGGTGATGACAATGATGATGATGAGGATGATGATGACGACAACGACAACGATGACAATGACAATATTGATGACGATATCAGTAGTGGTGGTAGTGTAGTATCAACATTATTAATATCGATAATATTATGAATATGATACTAGTTTATTTATCTATTTCAGCTGCTATAGTTCCAAACTTGATTTATACTGACTTGAAAGGGGAATCGAATTCAGCTTGACTCTTATTAGCAGCTGGATCTACAAGGAACCATTCTTGTTCAGCAGATAAAGTATCTGAGTTTTTGCGACTTAATTTCACTACAGGGAAACCCATCTGTAGAGTCCATGTGTCCATTAAACCTTTGATATCCACATCGCTAACCTAAGAATACAATTTAAATAATGAAGAATTGTTTATTTAACCAATAGGCTGCAGTTATTAGAACAAAATTACAAACAAAATTACAGAATACTGGTACGATAGTATAATACATACGGTATGCCTCCAAGTATCGCAATTCATGCCATGGTGTCGGAATTCAATATTTCGACATTAATTATGTCATCATCAGGAATGATGATGACATAATTAATGAATAATGGTACAGTATGAAAACTTTCCTTATAATTTACCAAATAATGTATTACTTTAATTTATTAATTTCGTCTTAACAACTAAAATATTAAATATATCTGCTAATCTTTAAAATAATATACAACTCTTTGTCTCGTATGCTCGGCCAAAAAGAAGTTGTTGGTACGAGGAACTATCAGGAACGTTTAATGTAAATGAAGAAACTAGATTGCAATCAAATAAAGAATTCATAACATCAAAGTCATTTGAATAATAAATCTATATTGTATAGGGACTAAATCTTAATTAAACATTTTGAAAATATAGCTGTCTTTCTATAGAATGCACCTGACATGGCGTGAGTTGAATGTATCATCCCAATATTTTTCTTTCTTTCTTTACCCCTCGATCAGTTGGCCGAGAGAGGAAGGTGATTGTCTTATTATGCCGTTATCCGTGCTCACGGACTTTTTAGAATTAAATACTTGTTTTCACACCACCATTGTCTCAGTCTGATTAACTCTCTTGATATATTACTGTACACTCGCAAGCTAAGTGTCAAAATAAATGATAATATTGTAGAACATCAGTATTTTTATACAAAACAACTGCTAACTAAGTTCAATATATTTGTATTTATTTTATAAAAGAAAATATTTGCAAAATATCATGTTCGGGGCTATTCTTGCTGGCAGAGCTTTTTCTGTTGTTGCGCCATTACTATGAAATTCCCTGACTCTTCAAGTTCGCAATTCCCTTCTCTCAACATGTTCAAAAACCGTCCAAAACATTTTTTTCAACAGCGCATTATTATTATTATTATTATACGTTTGTATAATATGCGCTATAGTAAAGTTATATACATTACATTTTCGGTTATAAGTTTAAAAAATAGTGATGTGAATGCTAATCAGGTTAAGTTTTATGGTAGTTGAGCTATCTAAACCGAACACTCACTGCGGCAGCTGCGCCGCCCGAGGAATCCAACTCCGCTTCCTGTGAGCATTATGTGTGACGCCGTTTGTTAATTGTCGGTGGTACCAGTCTGAACGGATATTTAAAAGTACCGTAGTCGCGCGAATAAGCGCCCCGTTTGAATAACCGCCCCTCCTAACGTGAAAATTTCCTTAAGCGCCCCGTTTGAATAAGCGCCCCCTCGTAAGATTTTCTTTTTAGCAAGTCAATAATCCAATCAATCCTGGGACTGTGGTTGTTGACGTGATTTGAGCTGTAGAGTGGAAACACATTCTTCTTCGCTCGATATCAAAATGAGGATATTTCTCTTGGGCAGATGAGAGCTCCGATCCCTGGACAGACAGTATATTTCCAACTTTACTCTTTTTACATATTTGTCTATGCCTAGTCCTACTCCTCTTTTTCTTTTTCCGACCTTTAGCATTCTCATCTGAGTTTTCAAGAAAAATACAATGATCATGCTATCCTGCTAATCTCAATCGGCCGATGGCTAACAAGCTAACCACTACCCACCACAACTAATTGCATCTGCTATTTTGCTGTTATGTAAATATTCACGCATTCTTGTCATGAGCCATGTACTCTGAACAATTATCTTTTCTAACCACCATTCGTAATGATCGTTATATAATCGTTTTTCATTCAAAAATTGCCTCTTGAATTTAATAATTTCCCATAAGAACCCCTCGATTTTCATCTATTTCCATAAGCGCCTGTTTAAATAAGCGCCTCGTGTGAAAAAGCGCCCCTCAGAAAGTGCAAAATAATATTTTATGCGCCCGGGCTTATTCGCGCGAGTACGGTAATCCGTTGCGCGCTCGTTGCGGGGTTACATACTCCATTAAATCCCGTCGGCCGAGGACCGCCAGGCTGAGTGTGAGTACCCAGCTTTATAATTATTTATTAGTATACAAATATTGACTGCCCATGAGAGGAATGGTGAAATCTATTGCCCAGATGTGATGTGGAGGTCGTCGCCAGAGTTGTCATTTGGCCTCTTTAACGGGCCAGATTCCTCAATCTGGCCGTATAAACATTCGCCTGGCCGTAACGTTTGAAAACCGTAACGTTTGAAAAGTCACGGTCAAACCATATTTGGTCGAATTTTGTGAAAAGTTAACATTTTTTCAATGTAAGCCTAATATAACGTAGACTTATTTTGGATATGTTGTTTTGTACAAAATCTTTTATTCTAATCGTGTACCTTTACTTACATTAGACGTTCGTAGTCGTACTCGCACTAAACACTTTATGTATTCCCCCTCCCCCTCTTTGCCGATTTGACGTAAGAGAGTTTATTTAAGAGATTAGCAGTTACATTTAATAATTTAATTTGAAAAGTTTAAAAATTTGTCCTCACTTTGGTAGGAATACCGATATAGTAGTAGTAGTAGTAGTAGTAGTAGTAGTAGTAGTAGTAGTAGTAGTAGTAGTAGTAGTAGTAGTAGTAGTAGTAGTAGTAGTAGTAGTATCATCATCATTATTATTTTCATCATATTCTTTATATCCAGATTGTCATTTCTTTCCCGCCTCTTCTACATCCCGCCTTCGGTCGGCTCAACTCACTCCTTATTTCCCCCACCCCCACCTTCAATCCGTACTACCAAGCGTACTTACCGTCAACCCTTTTCTAAAATCCTCTTCTCCCATGATGTTATTTAACATTCGTAAAACTGAGGCACCCTGTAGAAAATTTAAAACAAGAATAGATGATGTCAAAGTTTGTTGCAAAGTTTGTTAATTTCTAATAATATTATTGGTAATGTAACGAACGAAGATATGTTATTTACAGAAACTAGCTAGGATAGGTGGATAAGCTTCGTCCTTTCTCTTCTTGGACCTGTTTTGTACTGCGTTACAGATAATGATGCAATCAAATAAGAATTATGTAGGATTATGTACCTTACTGTATGAAATTGAATCGAATATTTCATTTATTTCATCCGGGTGATTAACTTCAATAATGATTGGATGTGACGTAACAATCTGGTCCAATCCCATGACGTAATACATATCTTCCGTCACGAATTGATCAAGCTGAAATTAGAGTAAAAATGCAGAAATCGCTATATAACCCTAATTAGCTGTCCCTGACGAAATCAAAAAGACTCTCTGATTCGTCGCTGACAACATTAGCAAAGTTTAACCAGTTCCGACCTTCTCGACGCTTTGGCAAAGAAGCGTAACCATTGACCAATCATCTGTCAAAAATATTTAACGTCATCAGCTTCTCTTCGACGATCATCACACTTCGTGCTCGATGATGTGGATATCCATTTTAATTATCAAGTAAAAGATGTAATCTGGTTTAGTGATAAGACGATAATTAAACATTTTTAAAAAAATAATAAAATACAATTATTTTCAGTGTATTGTGTTTGTAGTAATAGAATAAGAATAATCAGTGACGGCTTAATAGGGGTTGAATAACTGCTAAATTTGGCACACTGGGAAAAACTCCCTGTCCACTTTGTCATCTTATGGGTGTAAATGTATTATGTATATATTTCTCATCACTTCACTGAAGTATGCTATTAATAGGTGTGTCTATAATTGTGTATCATAATGTGATGATCTAGAAACTTCAGAACATTTTACAATAAACTATTTTTATTTAATTTACGAAAGTAAATATTTGTGAAGAAGGTTTTCTGCATTCTGCGAGACTTTAAGAACTCTGGGCTTTACACAGTGTGCTAACCCATAAGTGACACCTATAAGATGTGTGTTGTGTATATAATGAGAAGCATACAGCATGAGAATATTTATTGCGTTACCATTTGCCAGTCTGGCTCCGCATGGTTTACACCGCTATATTCCAAAAAGCTAGCAAAACCTTCATTAAGCCACAAGTCGTCCCACCAGTCCATCGTCACTATGTTTCCAAACCACTGGAAAATAAAATATTATCTGACATTTTTTTCTGAATGATTAATAATGTACCCTGTATTTAGATTTCGGTGTGCTTTGACATTGTTGAGCAAACGCTACACTAGCTAATACATAAGATTGTTATATGATACATTGGCCTAATTAATTAACGTATAAAATATGTTATAAATTTAAAACAATTAACGAATATCAATTAACATACAAAACACTTCGATTATATTAATAGCCTACAGCTGATGAAACATTATAAAAACGATATAGTTACTGTGTTAACCTATTCTCATTAACCTTTGGCATCCATGCATTTAGATTTCGGTGTGCTTTGACATTGTTGAGCAAACGCTACACTAGCTAATACATAAGATTGTTATATGATACCTTGGCCTAATTAATTAACGTATAAAATAAGTTATAAATTTAAAACAATTAACGAATATCAATGAACATACAAAACACTTCGATTATATTAATAGCCTACAGCTGATGAAACATTATAAAAACGATATAGTTACTGTATTAACCTATTCTCATTAACCTTTGGCATCCAAACTTACTTTGACTCTTAACTAAAACTAATAATATGCCATAGAACATATATTTATTTTATATGTTATTTCTAAGTATTTGAAAGGGATTTTATAACAAAAATAATTGTCATACCACATTATACAATTGTAAGTAATGCTTTCTGACCGTGGTAAAACTAAACTGGTTATATAAAGATAGGAAGGAGCATGCATAGTAGTTTTATTCACCTGATGCGCCAGCTCGTGAGCTATTACAGCTGCCACCCTCTGCTTGTTGCCCTCTGAGGATTCTTGTTCGTCATACAGCAGATTTGTTTCACGGTAGGTAATTAACCCCCAATGCTCCATGGCTCCGGACACAAAATCAGGAATGGCAATCATATCTTGATACAAGAATACAGAAATAAACATCAGTATGCAACATATATTGTGTTGCCAAAGCGCACAGTGACATATTAAAAGAAAACCTAAGGGTTCTCTGCCAATATCACCAAGTCAAACATTCGAGGTTTCCTTGAAACGGAATCTAATCTCGAAAAGTACTACCATGATCTAGCGGGCGCCCAACAACAGAACGTTAAACCCGTTCATACCGAAGGTTTGCTGCTGCGTCAGTGCATGAACATTTGAATGCAAGCTCAAAGACTATTCAAATTCTAACCCCTGCCTCATGTACTTTGGTTGTTCTTTTATTGCGTGCATGCAAAATCAATACAGTCAGAACTCTTGGTATTCTATGCTCTTTGATATTATTTATCAAATTTATTTTATTTAGTTGAATTGAATTAAATTGAATATAGCTTCAAAAAACATCATGAAAGTAACTCAGGTTTGTCT